ATAAAACAAAATAAGTAAACTATAAATTCTACTCTAGGGGGCTGGGAAGGTGCGGCTAAGTGGTGGAGCACTTGCCTTGCATGCATGAGGCCCTGGGTTCGATTCCTCAGCACCACATAAGCAGAAAAAAAAAAAGCCGAAGTGGTGCTGTGGCTCAAGTGGTAGAGCGCTAGCCTTGAGCTGAAGAGATAAGGGACAGCGCCCAGGTCCAGAGTTCAGGCCCCATGACCAGACCCAAAAAAAAAAAAAAAAAAAAAAAAAATTCTATTCTACCTTTTTCCCTTCAAAGTTAACAGCATTGTCACAATGAAGGGGTAAAAATTCAAAGCAATAAGAGTGGAAAGGACTACCATTTTGGTTACTATTCCCATATAATATCTTTTTTTGGGGGGGAGGGGGTGGGGGAAGCTGGTCATTTGAACCTAGGGCCTGTGCACTGTCCCTGAGCTTTTTTGCTCAAGGTTAGCACTTATCACTTTAAGTCACAGCTCCTCTTCTGGTTTTCTGGTGGTAGTTGATTGGAATAAGAGTCTCAAGGACTTTCTTTCCTGGGTTGGCTTTGAACTATGTCCTCCTGAGCAGCTAGGATTACAGGCATGAGCCAACTAGTGCCCAGCTACATCCTATATCTTTTACAGCCATTCTGATAGAGCAGTCTCAAAAAAAAAAACAAAAAACAAAAAACAAAACTTGCCCTACCTATCTTTCATCATCTAATAAACATGTCCTCTAATATAAGGAATCATAATGAAAGCTGTTGAAAGAGAAAAAAGCAATAGAAAGGGTTCTTCACAGGAGGCTGGTAGCTCACACCTGTAATTACACCTAGCTACTCAGGTGGTTGAAATTTGAGGACCAATGTGAAACTCCAGACAGGGCAGGAAAGTCCATGAGACTTTATCTCCAATTAACCATTGTAGCTCAAATGATATAGTACTAGCCTTGAGCAAAAAAAAAAAGCTCATGATAGCACTCAGGCCCTGAGCTCAAACCCAGGACTGGCACCAAAAAAAAAAGGTGTGTGTGGAGGGGGAGGGGGTAATTCTGATATACACATACACATATGCAAATACCATGTTAAAACTCCATGATACAATACATAGTTTAAAATATTAATGATAGGTAAGTAAAACAGGCTCTAGCTGGTGAATAAGGATGAATATAGTTAAAGCGGTTTGCATGTATGAAAAAAAACAAAAAAAGGTGTTGGAATTGTTTTAAGAAGGGAGATATGGGGCAAAGAAGAATGTGGAGAGGGTAAGTTTCATCAGCATACATTGTACACATGTGTGGAAATATCACAACCCCTCCCCATACAACTAATGTATGTTAATATATATGTCCTTAATTGATTTTGGGGGGAAGGGAGTCAGTCACAGGCTTAAACTCAGGGCCTGGGCACTGTCCCTGACCTCTCTTGCTCAAGGCTACTTTGAGCCACAGTGCCACTTCCAGTTTTCTAGTGGTTAACTGGAGATAAGAGTCTCACAGACTGGGGCTGGGAAGGTGGCTCAGTGGTAGAGCACTTGCCTTGCATGCATGAGGTCCTGGGTTCAATTCCTCAGCACCACATAAGAAAAAAGCCGAAGTGGCGCTGTGGCTCAAGTTGTAGAGCACTAGCCTTGAGCTGAAGAGCTGAGGGATAGCGCCCAGGCCCAGAGTTCAGGCCCCACGACTGGGCCCAAAAAAAAAAAAATGTAAAGCTTTAAGCTTCCCTTGTTTCTCCTTGTATATTATATTTAAATTTCTAAAATCTCCCTGGACGTGGCGCAGTGGCTCAAGTGGTAGAGCACTTGCCTTGAGCTGAAGAGCTGAAGGAAAAGTGCCTAGGCCCAGAGTTCAAGCCCCGCAACAAAAATAAATAAATAAATAAAATCTCCCTATAATTGTTTGCTTGTTAGGAAGGAGGGAATTAGGAATACAATTCAGTGTTTCATGAATGCTGGGTAGGAAAATGCTCTATTATTGAGCTACATTTTCAGCCCTTAATATTTTTTATTAAAAATAACAATAAATGGTTAAGGTATACTCCAGAACCAGCAACTAAATTCTCAGGTTTAAATAAATTTAATTTCTAACTGTTAAAGAACTTTAAGATACTCAGATGGTTCTTCTAGGCAATCTCAAAAACTACAACAAAGTATGATTAGTTTATAGGTCTCTACATAGTTTCTTCAGATCATTTTCCAACTAACCCCACCCAACTGACTCTTTTCTATAAAACTAAAGAGAGAGACTAAATAATTTGAACTGCATTTTTATCCAATTAAAAGTTCACAGGCTTGCTGGTTGGGTGCTGGTAACTCACACCTTACAATCCTAGCTATTTGGGAGGCTGAGATCTGAGAACAGCAGTTTGAAGTCATACAAGTTTGTGCATACAAGTTTAAGAGACTCTTCCAATTAACCAGCAAAAAGTATAACCCCCAAAAAAAGAAAAGACTGGGAATATGGCTTAGTGATGGAGTGCTTTTAGCATGCATGAAACTCTGGGTTTGATTCCTTGGTAACATATAAACAGAAAAAGCGGAAGTGGTGCTGTAATTTGAGTGGTAGAATGTTAGCCTTGAGCTTCAAAGCTCAAGGATAGTGCCTAGGCACTGAGTTCAAGCCCTAGAACTGGCAAAAAAAAAAAAGAGAGAGGAAAAAAAAGCATATATTACATGTATGCGCTCACATTTCTATTACTGAAAGAATCAGATAGAATGAAATGTTACAACAACAAAGGGCCTCTAGTGTTCCAAGAATATAGTATTCAGTGTCTATCAGATTCAGTGGTACAAATTCACTTATACAAAGAACACTGAAAATCTCTACTCCTCCCCCAATACTTGACTGCCATAAGTAATGTCACAGATCCTCTTCACTGATTGAAGGCCCTACAGGCAAAGGGCTGGCCTCAGCATTTACTATATAAAAACTGAAAGACAAAATCTCCTAAACTCAAGTCCCTTATGGTCAACTTCTAGGAGTAATAGAAGCTATAATAATCAACAATAAAAAGATTGCTGCATTGAGAGTTTATGTATCCTTAAGCCATAGAATAGAAGAATTCCCTTTTCACTACTTTATCAACTAAAAAAATCCAGGCCAAGGAAGTGGCTCTGTGGCTCAAGTGGTACAGCGCTAGCCTTGAGCACAAAGTAGCTCAGGGACAGCTCCCAGGCCCTGAGTTCAAGCCCCATGATCGACCAAAAAAAAAAAAATCCTGGCCAAGAGAACTGCTTCTCCTGCCAAGCATTCATACTCCAACCTATACAAATTCAGTAACTACTTTTTAAGAATTCCTATTCAATTCATCCCAAAACTGAAACTCTCGCCTGTCATATAGGATGAGTATATCTCACATAGAGCTATTGCACAAACTTATGTAGAACTAAATAAAGGCACAGTGGCATCATTATCTATCAAGAATAGGCTGACATGAATGTCACTTATATTTTGAAATGTTCTAAGAAGCCACTATAAACTAGTACCCATAAAAACAACACTTATGGGCTGGGATAGTGGCTCAGTGGTAGAGCCCTTGCCTTACATGCATGAAGCTCTGGGTTCAATTCACCAGCACCACATAAGCAAAAAGAAAAAAAAAGCCGAAAGTGGCGCTGTGGCTCAACTGGCAGAGTACTAGCCTTGAGCTGAAGAGCTGAGGGACAGAGCCCAGGCCCAGAGTTCAAGCCCCACGACCGGACCCAAAAACAAAACAAAACAAAAAAAAATCAATACTTATTTTTCATGTCTGAAGTACACAGATAAGATAGATCCAAAAACTATCAAGTAGCTGGGAGCTGGTGGCTCATGTCTGTAATCCTAGCTACTCAGGAGGCTGAGATCTAAGGATTGAGGTTCAAAGCCAGCCCAGGCAGGAAAGTCCATGAGACTCTTATCTCCAATAAAAACAACCAGAAAACTGGAAGTGGCACTGTGGCTCAAATGGTAGAGTGCTCACCTTGAGCTGAAGAGCTTGGGGACAGCGCCCAGGCCCAGAGTTCAAATCCCATGACTGACAAAACAAAAACAAGAAAACTATCAGGCAAAAATTATTTGCCAGGCATTATGTACATTATTTATGCATACTATTTCACTTAACCATTACAATCTGAAGATTGTAATGTATTAGTTTTATTGTGTTAGTTTTGTGTATTACTTTAATAGAATAAACAAATTTAGATAAGTTATATACAACAATCTATATATATAGATTCACTATTATAAATACCTGCTCTTAGTTATTTTTCACTCCTTTTAATTTTTTTTTCAGAACCATCACTATATGCTAGCTACATCCCCAGCCACAATTTGTCTTCCCATTTTAGGGAGATAAATGAACACAAATAGTAAATACAGGAAAGAATATAATACACTAGACTGGTTTGATATAGACACTGTAATGTTAAATTATTTTACTATTAAGAAGAGTTCTCCTATTAATGTTTGCCAGGCATTGGTGGCTCACACCTGTAATCCTAGCTACTTAGGAGATTGAGATCTGAAGATGTGGTTCAAAGTCAACCTGGACAGGAAAATCCTGCAAAAAACTGCAAAAAAAAAAAAAAAAAAAAAAAAAAAGGAAGTAGAGCTGTGGATTAAGGGATAGAGTGCTAGCCTTCAGCAAAAAAAAAAAAAAAACCTCAGGAAGAATTCAACATTAGCCCAAGCCCTGAATTCAAGATCCAGGACTGGCACCAAAAATAATCATAATCATAATCATAAACTTCAAAAATTGAAATTAAGAATGTACTAATGCACTAATATATTAATGTAGTCATTATATTCAATGTACATTATGTAAAAATTCAACTATATAACTTGACAAAGGAAGAGATGACACTGATCAAAATAACATTGTGCTCATAACTTTACATAGGGAATTGTAAGCTCTGTACAACTACTTAATAACAAAAAAATAGGGAAAAGAAGAATGTATTAGATTGGTTGAAGAGAAGATTATAGATATAGAGCAAGTGAGAATTCATAAACATGAAAATCAGAAAAATCACCTTGCTCTCCCTGCCTTTGAGCCCCCTCGGCATCTGGGTGTGGCACCAGGGGTCAGGCTGCAGCAGAAACAAAAAAAGAAAAGAAAGAAAATCACTATGCTGAACCAGAGATCAAGGATGGGAAAATGACGAAGACAACCTAACATACAGAAAATCACAGAATGAACATTTAGAATCCTGTAAAGAAAAGCAGGGTGGGCAAAAGTAACTCAGGTAACCATAAAGAGATTCAACCACAAGTTTTCAAAAAAGTTGATGACCAATTGTCAAGTCTTTCAGCTTTTTCTACTCTGGGCTGGGACTCTTTTGTTTTTGTTTTTTGGGTTCTGTTGTGGAGCCTAAACTCTGTGCCTGGGCACTGTCCCTCAGCTCTTCAACTCAACGCTAGCGCTCTAACACTTGAGCCACAGCGCCACTTCCGGCTTTTTTTTTCTTTTTGCTTATGTGGTGCTGAGGAATCGAACCCAGGGCCTCATGCATGCAAGGCAAGCGCTCTACCACTGAGCCACCTTCCCTGGGCTGGGACTCTTTATAGCTTGAGCCACACCTCCATTTTTTTTTGCTAGTTTTTTTTTGTGGATTTATCTGCCTGTGTTGGCTTGAAATGGCCACTGATTAGAATCAGCATCCACATACAGAATTCCTACAAACATACAAAGCAAGCAATTTTACTGTACCTTGGCAACTGTTGTTGAGGTCATCTACTAACATTTTATCCTTTCCCTTTTCAATGTTGTGAAATAGCTCCAGGAGAACTTTTTATGTAAAGTTTTTTACTTAATGTAAAATTTTTCCTCTGGGGAATCTTCATATTCTTTTTTTATAACCAATTTCCTCATTTATTTAGGCTAATAAATTCAACTTTGCTAACTTCCTCTGAATATCTGGAGACTACCAAATGATGGCAGTATCAACATTACTGTGGTCAGCTATTTTTTCTTTGACTTCATCTTTCACTCCAACTTCAACTCAACACTCCTATCTCCAATAAACTATTCAGAAAAAGCTGGAAGTGGCACTATGGCTCAAGTGGTAGAACATTAGCCTTGAGCACAAAGAGGCTCAGGAACAGCACCAGGCCCCAAGTTCAAGTTCCAGGACCAGCAAAAACAAAAACAAAACACAAGAAAACACTTCAAGTTTTGTTATTATTCTTCATCTTTAACTAATTCCCACTTTCATCTATCTTTTTTTGCAAAATATCACAGAAGGAAACAGTGAATCTAAACACTGGCACCTACATATGAACTTGATTAACAGATGTTTACATCAACAGACTGGACTGACTGATCACAACCTACATCCGTTTGCACATAGTGATTTGTGGACTCAGAGCTAGCAAATAAGTTTTTTCTTTACAAAGTTACAGTTAACATACCATGGCAGTTGAAAGTTGAAACATATTGGTGGAGAAAGAACTGATATTATTTAAGTGCACTGTGTTAATTGAAATCTGTGTATAGTCAAACTAAGCAAAATGAGGACATAGCATACTAAATGAGTAGGAGCTATGAATAAAAGGTTTGGCTTCCACCACAGGATATTAACTGTATCAAACTTGGCCTCACACCATAAATTAAGCCATAGATTAAGGAAACCAGGTAAAATGTGTGGGGTATGGAGTATGTATTTTAAAAGCTGGGGACTAGCCAGGTGCTGGTGGCTCACACCTGAAAATCCTAGCTACTCAAGAGGCTGAGATCTGAGGACCGCAGTTCAAAGCCAGGCCAGTCAGGAAAGACCATGAAACTTCTCCAATCAACCACCATAACACCAGAAGTGGCTCTGTTGGCTTAAGTGTTAGAGCACTAGCATTGAGCTGAAGAGCTGAGGGAAAGCACCCAGGTCCAGAGTTCAAGCCCCATTAACAACAACAAAAATAAATAGGGAGGGGGTGCCAGGACCCAAGCTTCAAGTGATAGAGCACCAGCCTATGAGCACAAACGATAGATCAAAAGTTTGAATTCCAATCTCAGACAAGGGGAAAAAAATGGACTATAAACAATGCAATCATGTAATCCCTGATGGAAGGAAACAAGATAAAAATTAAAATGTACTATATCCTTTTATATGGAGGTACTTTCCAGCCTATAAAAGAGAAAAAATAATGCAGCTACTTACCAAAAGAAACAGAAGGATGGGAATGTGACTTAGTGATAGAGTGCTTGCCGCCTAGCATGCATGAAGTCCTGTGTTGAATTCCTCAGTACCACATAAACAGAAAAAGCCAGAAGTGGTGCACTGGCTCAAGTGGTAGAACGCTAGCCTTGAGCAAAAGAAGCTCAGGACAGTGACCAGGCCCTAAGTTCAAGCTCCAGGACTGGCAAAAAAAGAAAAAAGAAAAAAGAAACAGAAGAATTTATGGGGGACTAGAAGAGGTATAAAACACACACACGGGGCTGGGAAGGTGACTCAGTAGTAGAGTGCTTGCCTTGCATGCATGAGTCCCTGGGTTAGATTCCTCAGCACCACATAAGCAAAAACAAAAAAGCCAGAAGTGGAGCTGTGGCTCAAGTGGTAGAGTGCTAGCCTTGAGCTGAAGAGCTGAGGGATAGCACCCAGGCCCAGAGTTCAGGCCCCACAACAACAACAACAACAAAAACATACACACACACACAGAATAAGAATACAGAAAAACCCTACACACACACACACACACACACACACACACACACACACACACACACACACACACACACACACACACACACACACACACACACACACACACACACACACACACACACACAGAATGAGACATACAGAAAAACCCTCCACACACCACAGTAAGATGGCAGTTCAAAAAAATAAGAATAAAAAGCCATCCAGATATATTAAAAAGGTGCTTTATCATCAAAGTACAAAATAATCCTATGGTAGAAAATAATTGATGCTAGGAAGAATGTGAATGAAAAACGAACTCTTGTGCATTATTGGCAGGAATATAAAATGGTTCAGCAAAAGCAAAAAAATGTTTGGCATTTCCTCAAAAAGTTAAACATAAGCCAGTGCCAGTGGCTCACTCCTGTAATCCTAGCTACTTAGGAGGCGGAGATCTGAGGATCGTGGTTCAAAGCTAGCCTAGGCAGGAAAGTCCAGGAAACTTTTTTTTCTTCTTTCTTCTTTTTTTTTTTTCTGGTCATGGGGCTTGAACTCTGGGTGTGGGCGCTGTCCAATGAAACTCTTTACCTTCAATAAACCACCAGTAAACCGGTAGTGGCGCTGTGGCTTAAGTAAGTGGTAGGGCACTAGTCTTTAGCTGAAGAGTTGAGAGACAGCTCCCAGGCTCAGAGTTTAAGCCCCATGAGTGACAAAAAAAAAAAAAAGTTAAACACAGAATCACCATATGAGCAGTCCAAGCAATTCTCATTCTAGGTATATTCTCAAAAGGATGTAATAGTTACTGAAATACATATAACACATATGCTTATAACATCTTTATTTAAAACAGCCAGAAATGCAAAAAATGTCAATGAACAAATTTTAGTGTACGTACAATGAAATATTAGACACAAATTCAGACACAAAAAACAAATGATACACTACAACATTCCTCCAACATGTTATGCTAAGTAATTTATGCCAGACACAAAGATCAAAGATACAACCCAAAATTTGCTTTTGTTTTTATTTTTTTTTGTCAGCCTTGCGCTGTCCCTCAGCTCTTCAGCTCAAGGCTGGCCCTCTACCACTTGAGCCACAGCGCCACTTTCAGCTTTTTTCTTTTTGTTTATGTAGTGCTGAGGAATCGAACCCAGGGCCTCATGCATGCAAGGCAAGCGCTCTACCACTGAGCCACCTTCCCAGCCCCTCAAAATTTATTTGCAAACCAAAAAAGAAGAAAATTTCGACTGCCATCAACAAATTCCAATACCTAAATGATATATACATTGGAATTAACTTCAAAGATAAAGGGTTTAATGTAACTAGGACTAAGAAGTTACAATAACTAAGGGCAAATATTTTTTAAAGAAAATGTCTGGGCTGGGAACGTTGCTTAATGATAGAGTGGTTGTCCAGTATGCATGAAGCCCTGGGTTCCATCCCTCAGTACCATATAAACAGAAAAATCTGGAAGCGGCGCTGTGGCTCAAGTGGTAGAGTTGAGCAAACGAAGCTCAGGGACAATGCCTAGGCCCTGAGTTCAAGCCCCAGGACTGGCATAAAGTAAAAAGAAAAGAAAAAAAAAGTGTCAGCAAAGACCACAAGAACTGAAAATAAGTGATATTTAAAAATTGACTGAGGAATGTAATAGAAGAATTACAAACCAACAACCTTTGTAAAGATAAAAGCAAAAGTCTCAACAAAACCTTCAATAAAATCCACCAGCAGCCAGGCACCAGTAGCTCTAGGCTGTGTAATACTAGCCTATTCAGGAGCCTAAGATCTGATGATCATGGTTTGAAGCCAGCATGGGCAGGAAAGTCTGTTTAACTAATCACCAATTAAGTAACCTAAAAAATCCCAAAGTGGAGCTGTGACTCAAGTGGTAGAGCACTAGCCTTGTGCACAAAAGCTCAAGTACAGTACCCAGTCTTTGAGTTCAAGTCTCAGGACCCGTACGTGTGCACACACAGTCCAGCAGCAAACGGACTATATACCAAGACCAAATGAGATTTACCCTAGGAATACAAAGTGGCCATCTTGAATGCTAATGTTGGGCTCAGGTTCCTTGTGAGGACTGTCAGCTCCTTTAGTTCCAAGAGCTTTCTCTGTATTATTAAAATGCTTGCCCCTTCTTGTTCCAAGGGAAAATGAGCCAAACCGTGATCTGAAACTGTGTGTTATTGATGAAGACAGAGATATAACTCCAGAATGAATATCATCCACAAAGCAGACACCTTGGGATGCTGTAGTTATACCAAAACAAAGCCCTCAATTTTGGGAAAAAAAATTTTTTAACTTTGCAAATCAAACTAGGTTAACTCTGAATATTGAAGATTATAACCTAGTAGAAAAAAGTAAAATTTAAATGCCATACATTAGCATAAATGCTAGAGAATTCTAGGCAAATGAGGATTATTACTACTTTGATATTATTATTGTATGTGCATCTT